TTCAAGTACTGCAAATCCAACTTATTCAAGAACACATCTGGTAACTGTGGAAAAACAGCAGACCATTTAAAAATGAACAGACAGATCTCCAACTCCTTTACTGCACTTCCAGAGTTGCAAGCATGAGATAAAACAACCCACCATCAGAAAAAACAAAATTCCAATCGCTGAGCCAGAGATACGTGCAATGAATTTCTATGCAGCATGTGGGCAACCCATGAATAGTAAAGTAAAAAAGAACAACTAGAATTTATACAAATGACACCACACTAAGGTAAGACAAAACATGCACGAATGCAATGAAGATCATACACAATTGTGTACGTATTCTGACACCTTGATCATCGTACAAAAGAGGAAGAAGAACCTCAGTCTCACGATATTAATCACAACAGGATGTCAGGTACTGGTACAATCCCAGTGCAAACAGCACTTTCCACTGACTGCCAATTCAGTCACTGCTGACCCGTGAAATTGCCAACTAGCCATGTAGTCCCAAGCACCCTTTACACAATCTCAAACTAGGCTGGCCCTGGCTTAGAATGAGCATATAGGGCTCATCTCTGGTTAATGTTTTGTAGCGTTCCAGTTACCATTAGCCTCAAATAAAGTCGTCCTGTATTAGACTGTGCACTCCAAACATATGGCAGTGGACAATTCGTGAATGTTGACTGCAGTCATTTCAATTGGGGGAGGGCTGTCAAAGAGAAATTTACGAAGCTTCTTTTCAGCAGAGGGGTTGTAACAATGAGAACAATAAAACACTACGACTTTTAAGAGCTACAAACGAGGGACAAGTGCTTGCCCAAATAGCTGCAATCATGTGTATCCTTTTAGATAGTTTTTGTGGAAAGTGCTACAGAGTGATGAAAAATCCGCATGGTTAAACCTCAATAAAGGTCCACAATTCTGGCGTTGACATCTGAAAAAAAACTGAGAAATCACCACTCTGTTTCCTTGGATACAAAGTACATGATCAGCATCTTATGCCAAAGGACAGTCACTGAAGTGAATACTCCCTTCGTACATTTGCTCATATCTTCAACATTAGGTTCTTGGCAAAACAGCATAACTGTAGTGAGGGCCCATAGCCTTTTTGATTTTATTATAACTTACTAAAGGTACATGTATGGTGCTCTAATATTATGACAAAAACGACAAAAGTGTAGGGATAAACAGAAGAACAAACTGGCTGGGATCTGTACTGGAGAAAAAGCTAACGTGTATAGGCGACGGTTTTGAAACCTATACTGCGTCTGAAGCTCTGTCTTTCCTGAGATTGGCTTTCTGAGGGTTGTCGAAATTTACAAGCAGATCCACAAGTGTTATGGTGGAAACGTACAAGCTGCAGTTGTGCCAAGACACACGGACATGTCCATGCATGAGGCCAAGGATGTGTGCCAGGATTGGGTTTTTTTTTCTGATCTACTGCTTTTCAATTGTCAGGTCCCTCATTTTATAGTCCATTTGTTCACTCTCTGGACGGCATTCAACTGTGAAAATGGAGCGTGAACGCAAGCATAACACCGGCGATTGCGCCGCGCAGCTGGATGTTTACCGATGGGTGGTGTGACGGGCGACTGATTGGACAAACAGCGGGTCTTGAGGGTTTCACGGCAGGACTTCCTGGATTGGGACTGGAGCAAGAGGGAGGGAGAAAGGATGGCTTGCGTGAGGTGCTTGACTTCGCGTTGGAGTATTCCGTTGTGACTGCAGCAGCACGACTATATTAGCTGCAGATCAATGATATAGAACAGGACAACCAATACACCAGTCCAGCTGCTATCATTGTAGGCTTTGACAACAAGTTGTCCCAACATGCTCTCTTACAAGCATGTGCCGACCATGCTTCAGGAACAATTGCAAGGCATTCAACTTTTCAAATTTATTCATGAAATAAAATGCCCTTAGACACACGTATGCCTACAGGAAAAGGAAAAGTAAATCCTGATTTTTATCAAGACAAAAGGCGTCACTAACTCGCTGTTGATGAATTGGTCAATTCACAGCCAGTCACGAGTGGAACATCTCACTCAATATAATCTACCCATATCAACACTAGTTTTTAATAAAGCCATTATTAAAAAAAGAAAAATCTGCAATAACTTCAAATTGCTTTCAGTCTGCAGCTTTTGGAAATAACCGGCGGATTATATAGACACTCATTTCATTTTGCCGACCCTTTCGGCACTTCAATTCATGTAATCAGAATCATGGTACCGCAAACCGTTACTAATTTGAAGATTGTATTCATTGCACTTTCCCACAAGTCTACTCTTGGTTTTCAGGGAAAAAAAGGCAGAAGATTTCCTTTCGAGGGGTTAGCGAAAAATGACAAATATAAATTTAGAGGGAAAACTGAAAAACTGTTGATACTCACCAAAAACACAACAGAATATTTTCACGGCTGAGATATTTGAGATCTAAGCAAAATATGTACATGCCAAAATTGGTTCTGTCACTATCATAATAAATAACCACTCCTATGGAGCATGATTTTGCTTGTTCCAAAAGTTTTGGTACGGAAATGTTTCCAGTAATGCCCTGATTTAATGGAATGTAGCCTAAAGACTAATATCTTATATGTATATACCAAAAAGTGTGAAAAGGAATACGTCCCATATACAAATATTTATGGATTTACTGGACTCAGAAATAAAACGTTTGAAGTTACAACGGTTTGGGGGGTTTAAGGAGTACTTTCTTTTTCTTACATTTCTGTTCATATCTTTACAAACTTTAAATAACTTTTAACTTCAAAACTTAATCTGCAACAGACATGTCATACATGTATATCACGTTACTTATTTTGCTCTTTTCTTAACCGGATTTTTCAATCTTGAAGATAACACTTATTTTAAAATTACAAAATATTATAGCTATATTACATTATCTTTTGAAATATAAATACTGGTGTACTAAACAGAACTCGACTCATAAATCATTTTTATTGCAATATTTAGTGAATCGCCTTGGTCTGCAATATATACGTGAAATGCATCTTATGTGAATGAAGTCTACCCAGGAGGCAATATTCTGGTCTATTTAACCCTGCCTATGTACGCAACCCAACGTACTGCTTCTGGTAGTCGCCAGATACGAAAAACCAAATCACAAAAACCTACTATTAGGAAAAGTGAAAACGTATGCCGACCTTTGCAGACCACCTCTCCCGGGCAAGCTCAGCAACGAAGGAAACATACCAGAACCTTAAACACCATTCAAGCAACACGGTATTAGATTCCTATTGGAGTGCCCTTACTGTTGCTAGAAGCCGTGAAATGGCATATTTCTCCCCTAGCTGTTCATGTCATAGTGTGGCCACCATGTCAACTTGAAAATGAAGCAGTTATCATTAGGACATTAATAACGTCCCTAATTATGAAGCAGCTCCCGTATCAAACCAAACACCACAGCATCTCAAAGGACTCTTAACCCCAGGTCAAAAGTTTGGAAACTGGGATGTTGCTACAGTTGCTTGCAAGAGAATGAAAGCTAGCTGGCCCCACCCTTCTTGTCCTCTTTCTTATGCCTTGTGTTCTTTGCATTCATGGAATCCATTGCGCAACCTCTTTGGTAATGCTTCAATGCTCGCCCAGCCCAGATTGGGCTAAACATAAAGAGCGTGGAGTCCCTTAATTCACTTAATGTCACTCAATTTTCTTGTGCGTGTGTCATAAATTGACTCAGTCTAAATATATGCAATCAGTGTATCACATTCCATAGTATCAATTCTGAGAGAAGTATTTGAGGAAATGAGTAGACTCCAAATTGGAATGCTGAACAAGGAAGATAGGATTTGGGGAAAAAAATCTTGGAAGGTGCGATGACCCATCAGTGTCAATGACTTCTGTTTCTGTAGGAAGGAGAATACAGAATTTGCTCAGAAAAGGAATTCAATTGTAGGAGAAAACTCTCTCAAAATAGCATTGGGAATTCAAGCAATTCTAAGCACAACTGAACCATTTCAACTTTTATCCACAACTTTTAGCAGTATTTGTAATCTTAACCTCTGTGGCATAGGTGTTTGAAGAAACTTTTCAATTCACTTTTAGCTGAGATCCACTTCTGTACATGAAGTGGAAAAACTTTCTGAGTTCTCATGTGTAGAAAAGCTTGAGAAGGATTTCTTGCGATGGATAATGTGCATGGAGAATTCCTCAGCTTTGGTACAGTTCAACCCAGAGATACTGCAAGGCCTTTACTGACAGGTTTATACAACCAATCTGATTCTGATCACTCATAGTCCTGGTCTGGCTTTCCAAAGGAGCTAATTCCTATCACAAATTACACGTCTGTGTATTGGCTGGTGGTAATGGACAGGTAAGGCGGTGCATGGTCGATGATTAACCATTCCAGTCCTGCTGCTTAGGCTCCGTTTGTCAAAGCATTCATTTAATACGCTCTACGTTTCACACATTCAATGCACATAGCTGGTTTTCAAGCATTCACCATAACCCAGAGGGATGGCTGATGGTGATAACCTTTGAGATAATATGTTTGCTTTCTGTCTTCCAGCACCTCATTATTTGAGAAAATATTCTAGAATTTTGAGGATTGCACAGTTTTCTGAAGGGTGATTATGTTGCCTTATAACAAGGTCACCATTTAGTCTAAAAGATAATTTCTTCTAGCGACAAGTAAGTACAAAATTCATCCCAGATGGTGCACTGTCTAATGTCTGAAGTTAAGAAACAATACCAAATAAAAGTGAGGATGGCAGTGCTAGCTGGTTGGCTGATGAAGTAAATTGGGATTAAACTGCTGAATGCAATAACGGCATTTCCGGATCCTGAGGCTGACACTACAGGTGCCAGTGCTGCATCAAACTGTTTTCCCGTATCACTGCGTCCCACCTTAGCTCCTGTCTTGTTACAGAATCCCTCACCACTGAGCTGTAAACTTCACTCAATTTCAGATGGACAACTACCTGTACTCCTGACTTAATATTGAAACAAGTCCTCTTTTTGTTTCAGCTCACACGTACCTGTTTTTCCCCCTTCTTCTTGTTTCCCTACCTCCCTGTGCCGAATGCACCTGTTCGTAACAATCTCGCCTGATTTAACGTGGCCAGGAGCCAAGCTAAGCCTCTCCCCTTTCACAATGCATGCACTATACATGTCAGTCACCGTGGGGCCCTGACGTGGCCTGTGTAGATTCCTCCGTTTTTTATTAACCAGCCCTGCCGGATGATACGTTTGCAGCCAGTGTCTGTTCAGGGGAGCGAAACGGCTTATTGGTTAAGCGATGCTGTGCAGCGGAGGAGGGAAAAGTGCCCCAGAGGTTTGGTGAGGTAATGATTTCTCTAGCTCAACTGGTGATAATCCCAGTCATCCTGGTACGCAGCCTCTGTAGAGTGCAGGCATAGGATGGATGGTCTACCTGCCTCATGAGGAAAAAGAGGAGTTCAGCTCTGCCTACAGTGCCTGGTGTGTGTGTGTGTCTGTGTAGTTGCCTCGCTGCTGAAAGCATCTTTCCTGAGTTGGTGGCATAACAGGTTCTGCTCTGACCAACACGACACGTCATCTCAAGTCAGCTAACGGTGACAACAAACTATTTGGCTTTGGGCTCTGGTCGATTCACTGCGCTGAGTATCATTGTAGGAGAGATGTTACGTTAAGTGTGCAGTGATTTTTGCCTGATGAAATACTGACCGATGCCTTAGTGACAGGACTGCATTGAACATTCTTTGCACAAAGTAAGACATCTCTTTGACTTTCTTTGTTGTTCTTATTTTTCTTGTTGTTTGTGTGTGTTCATTTCATTTTTAACAATTGTTTGATAAAATTGGAAACAAATTTGATTTTATTCCAATTGTTTGATGCATTCCAGGTGGAAAGTTGGGAAACGTTTGCAATTGACTCTGTAAACATTTTTCCACGACTAAGAGCTGTTCACATATTCACGGAGCAACAAAAACAGAGAAGATGAATGAAATTTTCTGAAAATCAAGTCCGCAGAATTTTTTACCAAAATTCTTCCAGCCACTCCTTTTCGTTAATGGAGGGCTAAAGAAATTCGGATAGCTGGCACAAAATTACAATTCAAAAAAGAAAGGACTAGAAACAGTCAACTTCAATTCAGCTCTTGTTGATTAGAATCAACACGGCATCAGATTTTAAAAAATAACTGAGAGAGCACTTTAATTTAAAAAATAAAAATGGTGGCTGGAATCGAGGAGGATGATGACCAGCAAAGTGTCCAAAATACCCACATCTAATAAAATAAAAGCATCTGCAGAGTCTGTGTGGCAGCCAAAAAACACAAATTGATTTTTAAACTGTAAAATTAAGAAAGGCCAGATGTTTTCATACTCACAATAATTTAATTAAAGTTCATTGTAAATGGGAACAAATTCAGGGTTCCAGCTATTAGTCTCGATTGTTGCCAAATGACAAATGTTTACAATCTTTGGCAGCATTCCTTGGCCTAAGCAAAGGCAAGAAATAACTGCATTTCACACGTCTTTAAAAAGTAAAGTGGCTGCAAAAAAGCGCGTTTAACAAAACTTTGTTCATTTCTTATAAATATTCCGTCGGCAACCCTACACATTCCAAAATACACAGGTCCATCATTATGTACATGTAATTCATTGCCAAAAAAGTGGTTTTTTTTTTCCTTTTTAGTATTGAATGACATATAGAAGTACTGGCAGTTATCAAATCATTGTTTCCAGACTGAAATACTGAGAAGAAAAAAACTTGTTTACTAATTTGCCTAATATTATAACAACCCACACAAAACAAGTACATTGTCACGGATGTTGTTTTCACAAAAGTGCAGACGGTTTAAAATTTCCATGGATGAATTATGACCATATGCTGGTCGTAAAAAGAGGAATAATCAAAGACTGGTTTCAGTTTTACAAATTAGAAAGCATTCATCTCCTGTGTACCAATATTCTGTTGCTGAACTTACGAGGGTTGCATTTAATGGACAGTTGCAAGTAACTCTACATTGGAGCAGATCTTGCCAATATAACAAAAATGTACCAAACATGGAGTGAAAACATCAGAGGATAACTGCAAAGCTGGGGGTGTATAGATTTCTGCCAACCCCCAACACAGCCCCCCCCCTCGAATGTTTGTCATGCAATGACAAATTTTATTGACATATTGCAAGCATGCATAGGTGTGTAAAAATCAACACTACTGGTCCCGGTAAAGATCAACAGCAAGAAACTTTACTGTCATTATCTCCAATAGCCTAACCCATTAGGGTGTACAGGTGTGTTGAAATTGGAGGATTGAGGACGGTTAGGGTCAGTTATCACAACTCCTATGGTTTGGCCAAAGAAATTTTTTGTTGAATTCATACATGAATTTGTAGCACATTTACTTGATAATTTTAAATTTTAGGAGAACAATAGGTCCAATCGTCATCAAAGTGAGTCCAAATGTGCCCAAAACAACAGCCAAATGGCATAAAAAGAAACAAAAATCACAGAAATGATAGTGGACTGATCAACAGGCCTTACAACTTTGACTCCTCTTAACATGCAGCTCTTGTACAGTGGAAGTTTTTTTGGTTCAAAACTGCAGCTGATGCAGTACTTCCTGGCATCCAAGTCAAACACTCGGGAAAGCGTACCCTCCTCAGATGCCACAGATAAGCAATCAACATTGCAGACTGTGAGAGTTTTATCTCTGACATCATTAAATGGCTCAATCGACTGGAGAGGGAATGTTGATGCATACATGAACCTGAGTGATATGTTGCACCGTTGACATTTTGAATTTTTTTCTCCCACAAGCCTCCTGTTGGCTACTGGTTTGGACAGACCAAAGGAGTGTTGGTTGTAGTTGAGTTCATTTCCCTTGAGTATGAGCAAAAGTGTTTCAGTAGGGGGTTCAAGTTCAAACATTTTACTATACACTGTAGGTGTCTTTTGTGAGAATGAATATGTATGGATATTTTTCATGTGAGCAGAAATATGACTACAGGGACTTCTGTCATGTGAGTATAAACCAAGGATCATATAGTGCCGAAGGCGCAAGGTGGATAACTCTGCCCAAAAGGGGTAATCACCACGGGCGCCATTTGAGCAAGTGATACGCCTGCGTGGTTCAAGGTAATGCACAGGCGCTGGCGCACCAGGTGTACGTGCCTGCCGCGGCGCCTGCGCTTATGCATTAATGTGCAATGCGCAGGCATATCACTTGCTCAAATGGCGCCAATGCGATTACAATGTTTTACGTTTATTCACAGTGAAGTTCTCCATCTTATGCCGCTACGTGGTGCTATACGATCTTTGGTATAAACTATGAAACTATGAGTGCATGGAATTTTTCATGTGATTGTGAGTTGATTTTCATGAGTACAAGTTTGACCCAAAAGGATAAATAAGTACAGCAAATTATGTTTCATGTGTAAAACTTTCAAGAGAAATGCTCCTTGGCTGGACAAAAACATGTCTATTTACAAGGGACGGAAATTATGACTCAGTTACTTGATTATTAAACTGATCAATAAAAGTCAATTTTGTTCTTACAGGTTTTTTCCTTTTGACAAGTGAAAATCCATTTTCTAGAAATAGTTGTTAAGGATCCCTTTTGGTAGGCACAACAGAACAACGGTGAACTTCTTCAATCAGAATCTCCAACAGCATACCGTTATGTACAAACAACTTCCCAAAAATGTGAAACAAACACAAAAACTCAATGAAAGGTACTGGTAAAAGTGGCCGACTAGTCTGTAAAGACACCGTAACCCCCCCAAAAGTCCCACTGACAATCTCAAGAAAAACTATAAATTTGCTTCTTTATTACTGATAATTCAAACGGACTGCTCAACACTCAATTAATCAAAACCATAACTGAGACGAGAACAATCAGACAATTAACGAAAATCCTCAATTTGCACACCCATTTTCCCAGTGATTTTATCGGTCAAAGGCTATTCCAATTATCCCAGTCAAACAACCTAATCCCGCATGAAATTCATGAAATGAAAAAAATTATAATGAAAAGCACTCATAAGCCATATACAGGACCTTTTCAAATGTGGATTAAGTATCTTGCTTATGTAACTTCCACTGGTTTGGTTAGAGACGTTCCTTATGTTATGGAAGTTTAAAGGATAGCACAACATTCCGAAAGAAAGAAACAAAATGGAACGGCTCCCTGATATGTTATCTTCCGTTAATTACAAACGCCTGCTCCTGAAAATTCTTAGGATCCAGGAATGGCAACGGGTGTGATTTATGGAGGAATATCCACGTCAACACTTCTAATGAACTTCCTGGCATAAACCTCCCCGTGGGAATCAGTTAGCCCTCACTCCTCTGGGCGTGATGTTATTCAGTACACACTAATTGGACAATGCGTTCGCAAGTCTCATCTTCATACCAGTTTTCGACTGAAATGGTAGATTGCTGTTATATATGTCTGTGCACACATCCACAGAGATTAGACGGATCCCAGTCTGGTTTACCACTAAAGTCTGTACTTTGAACACAAAATGGCAAGCAAATTCTCTTTGAAGCCACCGTATTCTCTGCCGCTGGTTTTTTTTTTCTTTAAATTTTGCCAAGCTGCTGCAGGAAGACACGGGATAATCTTCAGTACATGTCCCTTTTTTATCTCATTGTTATAAACCAGGTTCAAAATTTACTACATTTACAGTAGGCTCACTTTCAAACTTTCCTTTGAAGATTACGTATAACAAACGACTGAGGCTCCAGTTTGCATTGTTTGAACAAATGCCATCTTTACGACCTGCCATTTCCATGAAAATTAAACAGTCCATGTACATGTATGTAGGGTAGGAAGCAATGTGTCCACAGCAGGGTCATGGTAAAAAAGCCTTTTCAGTTACACGCACATGTACTTGATTTCATCAATGTCACGTAGACTGCGCTTTCTTTTTACATTTGCAGGGTTATCGTTTAAGTGTCTCAATCACCAATGCATTTAAGTTGAAGTAAAATTATCCACATGTATAGTTTGTGCATTTACAAGTTCATTTCTGCATTCAATTGTCATTGTAAGTGAGTATCAGCAGAAGGTGCTTTTGGCTATTATGTGAATAGTCCAGTCATCTGTAAAAGTTTATATTTGTTTGTAGGCTTTTTTTAGACATAGTTTCCAACCAAAGCTTAACTATTCTACTCCCCTGGTATCCCATCATAAGTTCAAACTGGTGCACATTTGCATGTGTGTATCTTAATTGCACGAACTCTTTAACGTTCATTAATGTTTGTGACCGTCACCAGGTCCCTAATTTCACCACGTTTTGTAATGTCTGGTTGGTTTTCTTAGCAAGTGGCGAAATTAGGGACAAGGTGATTATACGGTCACCGACGTCAGTGGAGAAAAATGAGCGACACCGTAATTTCTGAAAAAAAAACTTAAAGAACATTCCAGAAGATTTGTGTTAAAGCTTGTCGGTTTAATAGTGGAATCCACAGTGAGTAAAGAGGTTACCTGGGAAGATGAAAAAGACAGACACTGGAAGGTACATCCAATAAAAATTACAACAGTGCACTCTACCTTTCAAAAAATAAGAATAAAAGACTCCAAACACTAACACAATTCATGGAGTAAATCTCCTAATTTGATTTTCCAGAGAACCAATTTACGTTATACATGTACATATTACTCCACAATGATGGAACAAATATCTGATATGCACCCAACCACTCACCCTTCTAGCCCCGCCTAATCCATTAGCGGCAAAACCACTGCGCGCTGGGGTGCATCACACCTCTCAGGAGGTGACAATTTCTAGATTTTGTTCCGAAATGGGAGGCTGAACTCTGGCGCATTATGGTCTACATGTTTTATAGCCAATTAGCGCGGAGGTATCCTTCATTCTGTTCGGCGTGACACGCGTGGGAGTAATGCTTGCATGTGACAGGCTCTCCCATGTTTAAATGCACAGGTGAAAACTCTCAACTGTTGGTGGGGGATACGGATGAACTGTACAGAAGCCAAGAACCCATGCAGTTCAATGATCAAAAAATTTGTGCTGAAGTAAAAACACTCACTACTTCTAACTCATCAAAAGAACTCACTGCTTTTTGAACCATAAGATGTTTCCAATTTTTTTCAAACTTTGAATTGAAATTGACTAAGAAATTGCCTGTCGGCAGAAAGACAGCTCAAAATGACTCCAATACAAATGTGTAACTTTATGGCAATAATTACATTTATGGATAAGTTTTTCATCCTTTCTTTTCAAAACAAACTTTCAATTTTGTGTTTATGTACAAACACTACATTAGTGAAAGGATTTTCTTTCTGGATATACGAGTACAAGAAAGTCTGTTACCTACCAACATGAAGATATACTTTCAGTGTAAACATTCATGTTCTTTGAAGTTGAAGTTGACATAGCATAGCTTTGCTATTTGTTAAATTTGCTAAATATGTTGGCACAAAAGTACAAACTCTTTATGCATCCCCTCCCGGTTAACTGGGACATTCCTGGAATCAGATTGTCCAAAATATATGTATCACCAACTGCAAATTTATTGTAATTGGTCTTTAATAAAGGATTGGGTTTATTTATGATGAGAGACTTGACGGATGACATGCACCAGTTTATTTTTGCAACCCGGCATTACAGTTGCTATCTGGCCAGGCAGGGGGCACGTACACGTAGCCACAAATTCTGATAATCAGCATCGAGCAATCATAAAAAGTCTGCACCAGACCTGAAATGAACGCTTAAGCCCAGTCACTGTGTTTTATTTAGCATATAGTACCCAAGACGGGAGCCGATGGAAACTGTAAATATTATTGAAAAGAGCTGCCGGGAAAGCCACGGAATGCCGGAGCTGTCAAAGATAAACACCCGGCCCATGAGGGCAGAACAGCAATGCGAGCGCACCGTGAACCGTCACAGAAAAAATCCCATCGATCATATGTGAATAGCTCTTAATTATGACTGAAGACAACAATCCTTGGACTAGATGCTGTCCTGTCCTCTAAGGTACAGTTACTGGCCATTTGACAAAAATAGGCCCCATCACGGGAGACAAAATTCATGAGAAAGAAGCCAGACACTAAGATGAAACCGGAAGCTACCACAAGAGAAAAAGGACAGAGACAAGGTATTCATTAGTTTTGAGGACATTACCAAAACACACTCATTGTACCCTTGGAAACGAGGACTCAGTCACTTGAATTTTCTTGGGACCACAGGTTTTAAGTTGGATTTTCTTTCTGTGATGCTCCATGCTTTTGACAAAGCTTCTTAAACTGTTCGTGTGGTGCAATACATACAGAGAGGGGCGAGTGAATAACTGCAAAAAAACACATACAGACGGTTGGAAAGTGGCCTCTTTGAAGAAAACAACTTGGAAGTGTATCCCTTAATGTAATGAATCTCTGAATTACAAAGCATGCCCACAGGTGCTTTGTACATGTAGCTGTGTACATGTGACTGCTAAATACATCAACAATATCTCTTGCCCGAGATGGTGAATCAGAAGTTGGTATTTTGAACCCATTTTTTTTTGGGGGGGGGCCAAATTTGAGATTGTGACTGAATCATGACATCCACTCGTAACAGGTGATAACAAGCCAAAACAACCATTGACGGATGCTGAACGAATGGCCCATCATCCCTCAAGAATTTGACAAAAACAAGTGATCCTCGCACAGAATTGAAGATGAGACGCCAAGTCAGTTCCCTGTAACCCAGCCTGCATGTGTTTTCTGTTCAGAGCGAGTGTAGAACAAAAAAAAAAGAAAGAAAAAACACACAGCTTGCATGCAGGCGCAACACGTCATGATTGCCGGAGCTAATTGCAATGTTTCAGTCAAAACAATGGTGTACGGTTTCCCTTCCGGAGTCATTACAGCCTTTGTTCCAATCACGCGGCAGAGCTTGTTTTATTAAAGGTATCAAATTGCGCCGGAACGCGCTGGTTTGACGGGGAAAAATTGCAGTGAGATGGTGCTACTTAAAACAGCCAGGAGCACAGAGGGGAGGGGAACACAGACAGAGGGGCGAATATGAGACGGGAAGGTTTGACTAGAAAATTGAAAAATCCTTCTCTGATAATTGCTTAGCTATGAGCAGCTACGGGCACACGCCTCAAGCTGCATACTTTCATGCTCAGTTGACCTGTACTTGTGTGCATCTGTGCACTTCTGGCTTCAGACAATATGACAAATGCTTATCAAACTTCATGCACCGGTGAACGACAAAGACACTTGTGTCAGCGTCACTACTTTTCTGTCACAATGACGTCATTTCAACAGTTATTACTTTTTATGACAACGATGGTTCTCCCCGACAGATTTGTAATCTCCAAAGGGAAGTGGGTGCCAACACCTGGAGAAATTTTCACAGCAATTTTCCAGTGGATTCTTTTTCACCCTTCTCACACAGAGGGAATCAATACCCGGAAAACGTCACCCAAACAATGAAACCTATACATCCTCTTTACACTATTGGCCAAATTTGCATGAGGCCTCCCACAGCAGAACATCCAGAAAGAGAAACTTACTGATTCACAGAGTCACGCCAACATGATTTGGATGACTGTCACCCACCAGAGAGAAAGTGTCCGATTAAATCGTCACAATTCATATCGTCTAAATTCGACTGCAGGGGATGTTAAACCTAGTAGCCTGAAGGTATTGGTTTGTTTATATCGGTCCTGCTACCAGTACACTGTAATCAAGTAATTGAGGCATCAATGCTAGCTTCATTAACACATCTCCCTGGGGAAATGCCCACGTTATCAGAGAGAAAAAGAAAAAATACCGATACTTTGGAAGTGTTCTCGGCCAATCACAACCAGACTGATGCGGCTTGAAAGAGATGTCCTCAGGAGGATTCCATTCAGAGTTTTCCAGAGGAAAATGAGGAGATGCAGATCAAGAGGGTCGCTAATCAGATTTCCACATCTAGGCGTGGGGAGTCCCTGGTGAGTCCTTCTGACAGCAGGACAAGGTTGGTGTGGAGGATTGCACACAAGATGTGGTGGCTATGTGCTCCAACGACACGAGGCGGGGAGGACGAAATTAAGGAATGCGCCAGATTAAATTCCGAGACAAATTTGATTTGGTTTGCAAATGTTGAGATTTTAGAATTCAGAAGGAATTCCTCCCCGCTTCTCCTCAGAACATTTTTTACTTCCCCCTTGGAAACTTCCCTATCCCTCTCAGGAATACCTTAATATATTAAAATAGTATTCTGACAAAGAAATCCCGAATCTTTAAATGTCAGACGAAAAATCAATGTTGTAGGAGTTTTTCCGAGGAACATGCCAAGACATCGAGACCCCACTCTAAGTGAAATATAGATTCTGCAGGTAAAACAACCTCAAAACATGGTAATTTACAGCTGAACATCTCAATTACACTGGACAACTGGATGGGTCATCACCAGCTTTCCAGGACTTGACAGGAGGGGACTGCAACATGAATATGCATGCACAGCATAAGCTGCATAACACTATCAGCTATCACTCAGATGCACTTTCTGTTTGAGTGGATATGAAATCTGAACGTGAACAAACTAACAATTAAATTCAAAATCTGTCTGAGACATTGAATCCTATATAAAGGAGTAGTCGCAAACTGTAGTGACAGAACGACTTTAAGAGATTGGAAAGTTAATATACTTTTGAACAGGAAGGTAAAAAGGAAAGTCAAGGACAACTCTAACGAGTAAAGATACCACACTGCCATGTATTTCATTAATTACCTCTTCTCAAATAGAGAATTTTCCTAACAAGAATCGACTGTGCTCTTTTACCTCCATCACCTGATTTACAACTGAACCAACGGCTGGGTTATTGAAAACAATTTTGTTAGTAGGCAGAGAAAGGGAACATTGCGGGTTTGTGGTAACACAGAGTTTTCTTTCTTTTGTGATTAACAACTGGGGTTATTAACTTACTATCAAAAGATATGCACATCCTTTCGTTCCTCCTTTCAAAGACGGCAAATCATGCAAATTTTGATACAAGTATGATTTTCGCGAGTAAGGTCATTTTTACACCTTGTTATTCCATGGGCATTTCCTCCTTGAACTGTACCTGCAGTGGACGTCGTGCTATGATATTGTTCAAACCAAACTGGCAGACCAGACCAGCAATGTGTCTCAATGTCTGAATCAATAGCCATTTCTGTGCTTGCTGGCATGACCTGACGAAGAAAGCTTTCTTTAAACATGTAGGTGGGGCAACTACACGCAGCATGTGGCTGGTTAAATATTTGCCGTTTAAAACAACACGAAACATTTCAAAAGTAAATACAATTTTTCAATTCTTATTCTGTACTACAGAGAAAAGAAGACCATCGGAATATATGATATTGTTACCGTGCAAACACCAAGGATATCTATCGGCTAAGTGCACCCCAGTCAGTAGTGTGATTGAGCCTCATCTATATAGTTTAGAAAAGTCTTCCATTCTGCCTTGTGACACAGGGAGGGACAGAGTTTGTGATCCAATTGCCCCATTTCTGATTTGACACTGCCAATCTGTCTCAGAACAGATAGCAATTTAATACAATCAACAGGAGCGTACATGTATTAGGCAAACCTACGAGTAGCTCTGACAAATGTCCTCTTCAAGCGAAAATCAACACAGATTAAAAAGAAATAATACTCACGATGTCGTCCATGGCAATACCTAGCATGCTGGCCCACATGTTGGCCCTTAATCCTCCTGGGCATCCAGTCTTGGCGTACTGCTGGGCTAGTGCCGAGTGGTTGGCCTGTAGAATCTTCCGGCCTAAACGCATCCTCTCTGCTTCAAAGAGCTCTGCACAATTCGAGCACAATGATCAAAGACTTACCCATCAGCTCAGATTTAGAAAATATACACTAACATGCTCATTTTTGTTGGTTGCCCATACATGTACATGTACAATATATCTGAGCTACTGTAAAAGTGAAGGCATGCGTTACTGCAGAGTTTGAAGAAAATGAAGGTATCCCAATCATAACTTAAACAGCATGTTGCTTTCCTGTCTTTTCCAGTGGCCATTTTAAAGCATCAACTGTTTACCATTTTTCTGATAATAGAATGCATGACAAATTACTGATTGCATTGTGGTTACCAATGCCTCTGTAGATTTGTGCTTTTCAACCATGAAATAATAAGTGTTGCTCCGAACTTATAAAATATAACCTTTGGAACCAATTACAGACAGCTCATGTAAAAAAAGTAACAATTTAGAAGAGATTAAGATGTTGCATATTTAATTTAGAGTACTAAATAAAACATGGCCTTTTTTGGAGGGGGGGTAGAAGATTTATGGGGTTCATAGAAGATTTATCCAGAAGAGTGCCAGGAACAAACCTGCCTAGCAAAGACAATAACATCCTTACTCTCAACACAAGGTAAAAGGGTACCCGGTTGTTTGGTCTTTACACGAGCTCAGCTTTTACTGTGCCTCTTCTCCCTACAATCCCTGTTGACAACTGCCCCATCTCCCCAAACGTGGCATTCTGTCATTCCCCTCAACTGGGTGACAACACGAATCCCTTGCCAAATATAACACATCTTCTCTTCAACAATTGCTGAGGTGAAATTACTGGACATTCTATTTTATACCTTCAAACAAAAGTGGTGCGAATACTGGGCACGACAGCTCGGATCTGGATTATACCAGAAATAAAGTCTTGATGTCTACATGTCTACCATGTGTGCTACTAGTTTCTCACAGCATTTAGGTGACAAATATACACTAGGCTTCCTCCATAAAATTGACCCCTGGGCCATGCTCACTGAGTCTTGATGTGCTACATATATATTACAGGCCAAGCAAAAAATTCTGACTGCAATCAAATGCAAAAAATTTATTACAAGACACTTCATGAAAAGGTGTTTTTTTTTTCTTCCTTGGTTAAAGTTGCAAATGAAGTTTCATACTAAGCAGTCAAAATTTCCCCCAAACTGACAAATGAACCCCATAGTGAAACTGACTTCACAAGTTCTTTTCAATAATTTCCTCTGCAATAAGGGACTGGTCTGCTTTCCATGCTAGTAATAATGGGCAAAGTTAAACAAGAAATCCATCCAAATGGCTTGGGATTAGGAAATACAAAGAAAAGGACTAGTTAAAAAAAACCTGTAATTATCATTTGAATTGTAGCCTCTTTAGCTACAGTGCCATTCAGGGCTGTTTATTTCCTAATGTAAACACCATAGTGACCTGATACATAAATCTTGCATGCATGGACAGGCTTGTTATTAAGCCATGGGAAAACATATGCCATTTGGGCTTGGAAAATTGATGCAGACAAATTGTTCTTGATGTCAACTGGTTGGTGCAGTATAGATCTGTTAACAGCCAAACCTGTTAGAAATCTCTGAGCTTTTTTTCTGTTTGTACAATGAGAAAGCCCTGTGCTTGTTCTTTCTTACGATGTACACTTTAGGGATCCAGGAACTGACAGGGTTGAGGGGGAGTTTTGGAGAGGCTCTCTTCCCATCGAGAAGATCGAAGTTTCCATCCGGAAAATTTGAAGGAGCGGCGAATTGTGTTTCCAATTCACTCTGTTAGAAACTAGCTAGGAAGTGGCTTGCAGGGGTTTTAACCAACTGGTCTTCCCACAGTACATGCTGAACAAAGTCAAGTTGATTTCAAGGCCTAAAAGAGCATGAAAACTGAAAAGACAGCTGCAAATATTTGATCTGACTTTCCTGCTGCGACTAAATTGATCGACACTGCTTCCGTCAACCTTTGCTCCTACCCATCCCTCTCAAAACTTAGCCAACTTGTTATTTGGACACTTTTAATACTTGTTAATATGTTTACAAGAAGACCCAAGTAACTTCCACTCACATTAGAAAATGATGTCAATGCATAATTTCCTTGATATAGGCTTATCTTTCAATGGAGTAATCTTGGTTGTGTAGAAAAATGTGACAATGTTTGGAAGCCTCATCGACTTTTAAGAAATAATATCACTTGTTCACTGAGTTTGCTTGGGCAATTATTGACTTGATATTTTTGTTACATGTATGTCGGGTGTATAGCTGAGTCCACTCAAATAATTGAATACATGTATTTGAATATCTGACATTTCCTTTGATTGAATGCTCCTCCAGATCGTATTTCAGCTCTCAATCAACTGCACATTTCTGTTTTATTCTTTGATTTTTGATAAGATCAGTCCAATAAAGTGTACAGCAAACAATAACATTCCTTCAATACCTTTCTGCAAGATTTTTTTTTTTTTTACAGAGCATTAATGTTTCTGCATGGCAGACACCTGGAGACTAAAGGCGGGTTCATACTTGGCACAAAAGTGAACAGATATGCAAATTTGTGACGTCTAATCAAATATTCGTGCTGCAAATTTGCAAAAGTTGAATACCTGTCAATTTGAGTGAAATTTCGTGGCAAATCTTTTGTGACATCAACTTTGCTTTGCTTTCACATTTACCTGTAGTATGAACCGGCTTTAAGTGAAAATGAAATGGTTTTTGCCTCTGGGAAGATAACGTACAGGTACATTTTAAATCCTTCGCTTAAGGAAACACAAACACTGACGAAGAGTTTGTAAGAAAAAAAAAGAACATAAAAGCACTCATTTATCATGTCGATTTCACTGAGTGCATTTTTTTTTTAATGGAAACATTACGGTGGGCTCATGAATACTTATCTTCCCAGGATTTCATGAGATCAGTTTCTGCTTTACACATGCAGGTGAACTCTTGAATAGAACATAAGGATTGCCAAAAGTTGTGCTTGTTTCCAAAAGGCAGAATAAAAACTCAAAAACTCATCAACAATAAATCATTCTTTTTTGTACTGTCAAATCCAACTTTAACTAATTTGTTTTTCCCTTATGCAAACGTTTTAAAACGTTGCATTTTAGTGATTCTTATCTGTAGATACAAAATTTAGAAGCAAATAACAGTATGTACCACTGAAAAATTCTAATACATGTGGACGGATATAATTCCTGCCAATGTGTGACATATTGCAGCATACAGACCAAAAAACCAAACTCAGCCGAGAAAACAAATATATATGGAAATTTGCAGAGGCTGGGTACTGACCTATCACCTTGCTGCACAAGATATTTTGGTGAGATGTGAGGTTACAGACATCTAGTATTAATTTCAATGCCAAGGCATGTACACACATGTATGTCAATCTAATACCAGCCTGATCTGCATAAGTTAGTGGGTAAGATCAAATACATGTCATTACACTGACTTTTTATTCCCTCTATTTTACTGACAAAGTAAAAGGGTTTTTTTGATCAATAATTTAATAAGAACTGAAATTTGTATTCACTGCAGATCAGCAGAATGCTAATTATTATTTTATAAAAGGGATGAACAAAAGTGTTGAAGAACAAAATTGGATGCTCTGATAGGTTAAGGAGAAATAACAAAAACGTGGCGATTCTTTTATTCGATTTGCGGCTGAGCCCATTCAAACCAAAGAATCTCCACCTTTTGGGTCGTTTCTCTGACTTAAACCACGTCTCTTCTGCCGCTGTTGTCAATATCGTACAAGAAAACAAAACGTCTTTACTAATGCTTGGAGCTTGAGATGAACTCCATCATTTGTCCGGCGTTGGCTGGCTATGTGCATGTACACAGAAGCTTTACTCCTGGTTCAAGCCATTAATTGAGTAACGTTTTGGCTGAGTGCGCATCTACCGGTACAAGAATTATTGTTTTTTCATTCACATGCACAGCGCATGTTTATGAAGTCACGCGTACAGACGTGCAGTCGGCACCATCAGTGGATCGTAGGGCGCACGCACTGTCTTCATTTCCTTACAAGTTCAAATGGATATATTATGTACAGCATATGAGCTATGGAAATATACATACAAGTACAAAATTCCGGTTATCAAATGCTAACGATGTAACTGTACGGAGCTAGGGGCCGTTTACACCACCAAAAGCAAGTTTGTCAAGTGGCTGATTTGGAAACAACGGTTCACTGTCTCTTCAGATGAAGAGCATGTCCACAACCTTGGAATTACACGCTTACTCATCCAACTCCCTCGGTCACCGCAGGAAATTATTTCATTTGGAAAAGCATACATATGGAACATCATCTGGAAATTATTATACATACGTTTCTGTAAATCATACATGAATTGTCATCCTCAAAGTTATTTTAAAAATTTGTTCAATAACAGAGGAAGAGTTAAAACTGATGTTTAACCAAAAGTACATTGGCTTAATGTGAATTTTTAAAAAGCATAAAGAATAAAACTTAGACCTGTATATAACAATTAGTACATACACATAAATGAGTAAACTGACAAAAAATGATAAAATAAAAATACAATGGATGGAGTACCAGTACATAAAAATGAGCAAGAAATATTAAAACATAAGTGCAATCAAACGAGTGTTTCGCTAGAATGTCTAAAATGGTGTAATTAACTGTGTCTCACCATGTACAGGTATTTCTCACCATGTTTGTCACTGTAATAATTCAACATCTCAGCTGCTTTATCTGTGTCTATCAGCCAATTTTGATCAGTAACTGTTTTTCAAGAATGCCCATTATAGTTTAATGTCTGGAATATAGTTGTTGGAAAGGTTTGCTTTAAAAGCTATTGGGGTTTTTCTGTAAGGGCAAGGCAAGTGTGTCTTTTAAAGTTTAAGAAGACGGAAGATCCTCTTAGAAACTGAAAATTGTGTACGTGCTTGTCAATTTCTGCTCGCTCTGTTTGTCTAGATAGCTGGCTTGGCGGTGGGCTAAGCATCAAACCACCGTCCAGAATGCACTTTGGCGTGTGTGGGCGCGTGCGGCATGTTTGAGTGGGTGTGTAGGCATATACAGTACAAGATAAACAGCCTCTCCACATTAAAAGAAAATTCAAGAAAAAAAAATTCACAGGAAAATTAAACGAAAAAAGAGTTACTAGTAGATGTAAATCCTCCTAAAAAGAGCAAGATCACCTGAATGCACTGGCATTCTTCAACTGTAACTTCAAATCACTTTCACACTAACTGATTAGTTTGACACCTGTAGCAGAATGTTGGACAGGGTGAATACAATAAATATTTTCCCAGGAATCCTCACTCCAAAAAGTTTAATCAAATGTGACAAATTGAACCAGCCCGACCAACGGCATAAAAAAGCGTATTCAGTTGACCGGGAAATTTTCATAACTCCATCATGATCTGTGATCTGAACAACCGGCGCTGATCCCCAGAACCACTTGACGAGATGTTTCCAAGACACAAGGGCCCTTGAGGGGACTTTGGACAATATTTGCTCGTTGCAAATATTGGCCTGTTCTTGTGTGCACAGGTAGAATCGTGTTCCTCTAAAATCCATGCTTTATAAAAATTAAAGAAGTAATTCCACATGGATATTAGTACGACGTTGACAGGACACTGTTGGCACTAATTCCCCCCTTTTCCCCCAGGAAGAATTATAACAGGAACCCACCTGCTGAGGTATCCGCATGGTCATCGACACCAGTCTGTTGGGTACCAGCCGAAAACTCCCGGTAGTGATCTCTCTGAGGACACAGAAATAAAAATTTTCAAAAAGTGTATAAAAAAAACTACTTCTTACAATTTGGGTTTTTCCAGAACAGCTGAGCCGTAGAAAGTGATACCAGAAGATGAAGGAGCCTAATTTGGGCTACTAACGTAGATTTTTGTCTTTATTCCAGCTAGATAGTGCACAGCCAGCAAAATTTGGTGGCAAATTGACTTTCTAATTGTTCAGCTTACACGAGAAACATTTGCCGGAACTTGTTGTCTCAGGTAACTTTCACACGGCTGACAAGCACAAAATTTGCCAAGGAAATGAAGAGGAAACCTAGCGAGAACCAGTCAATGGCAATTTCAGAAGATCTCAAATGGCTTTTTCTTTTTATGATGGGAGCAATGCGCAGGGGCCAATTTCATAGAGCTGCTTAAGCACAAAATTTGCTTACGCTTGAAAAAATCTAGACAAATCACATTACCAGCCAAAACTCCATGTGATGTATATTATTTTGGAATGGTATTCACCTGTCGCTTAGTTAGCATGACAGTCACAAAAATTTTGAGCTGGTAACCTTTGTTTTCTAAGCAAGGATTTTTTTACTTAAGCAAATTTTGTGCTTAAGCATCTCTATGAAATTGGCCCCAGGTGAAGCTGAATTTTTGCCTCTTCAATGAAAGAGTTAAAAAAAAACATTAACAAGAAGCCAACATGTGGGTTTGTGCACAAAAAAGACTGTCCAAAAGAACTTAAAATTCTGCATTCAATCATTCATTCCTCCTGATATCTCCAAAAAATAGCTTTTGGTTTAAAGGAAAGTGAAAGGGGAAAAACATTGGCGCCAATCCACAATCTGTTTTGCCAGAAATGTTTCCATCCTCCATTAATGCTGCTTTGCTGACAGAACTTTGACCTGAGTAGCACAGGATCTGGAAGGCATTCAGTCCTTTTTAATCATGAAGCTGTTTTTACAAAACACTCAGCCCATGTTGTATCCACACAACTACAATCAAATATTAACTTTTTTCAGAATCATCCACACGGAAGGCTTTTTTATACAAATACGCCAACAAAAAAGAGATACATGTATGTTTCTTCAAGCATAAGCAGAAATATCGAACACTATTGCATCATCTAATAATGTTGATTGTGGCTCATTTTTTAACACGCCTGTACCCGGCATTGTTGTGTGACTCAACATGGCACAGGAAAGGCAAAAATCAAAGTTGTTTGGAGAGCGGACAAGGCCCAAGTCTTCATACAGTTAATTGAGAGGGTTGCACACTGGTCATGTCTGGTTGTGCTTCACTGGTGATGCGGCAGGATACTCCTCAAGGAATTGAGTTCACCCTACTGCCAAACGTTTGTGCGAACACCCAAGAAACACGTTGATCAGCACAACTGAGCCACTGACTGACTTTTCAAATGTTTTGCTTTGCAGATTGCGAATGCTGGCAATAGGAAATGCTGCTTCTTATATTGGTACATGTACTGGTAGGAGTGAAATTAACAGGTGAGTACCAACTAATTTTGTTGTCTTCATTTCTAAATAAAGTACAATGCGGTGGAGAAATGTGTCTATCTGGACCAATTTCAACCTAAGAACACATGTGCCCTCTGATAAGGAAAGTAAAAGCAACCTTGAAGTCTCACTCCAGGTTCACCGGTAGTTTAGCCACATTAAAAATAACGGCTATGGCTGACAAAGCTGTGCGTCACATGCTGGCGAGTAAATATATTTATTGTACTGAATACTGTATTTTTTTCCTGACAGAACAGAGGATACATGCTTGTCTAGTGTAATTCCATGATCAGAATTAGAAGCCATCACTGAAGTGGCAAAACGCTCGCAGACAGGTGGTGAATGTGCCTCACATGCCTCTTTGACCAACAGGGTGCGCGTCGTGATTTGCCACATGCACGTGCACGTCAAGCTGAAGAATGTGCGTGTGAGGGCGGTACCACCACAGTTACGACATCGAAATCAGATTAGCCTATAGCTTTCTTCAGTTAACCGCCTTACAGTTTGAGATACGTTTAAAGGTACAAGACACCCCAACGGGGGTAGCACAGTTATTTCTCAGTTGAATGCCAATTTGGTATGACAAACGTGAAATTTATGTACATGTACACTTTACATGTACCTGCTGCAGTAAATATCTATATATAGGGGCAAAGATTTCTTGATGCAATGAAAGAAGTTCCGCAAAACTTTCAGAAACAAGCTCATTTCAACTAATTAAATTCACATAATCACAAGACCATTACTTCAATTGGCACCAATATGAATTCTAAACTTAATGCTTATTCCTTATTCCTAATCTTTTCTAGGTTTTGTGTTTCAAATAAATCAATGCATCCTACTGTTTCAAGATTTGAGAAAAAGGTGATTTTCAAAAAAAATAGACTTCGCTATTTTGGGGTAACATTTTCTGTAAGATTGAGCAAATGATACGTCTCAGTAACAAATATCTGCACAGAACGTTTTGCCAAACCTCTGATTGTAGAAAATAACACAGCTGCCCCTTTACTGGGCAGCTGTCAAGCAGATTCACCAAACAGAATCCTGGCTGTAGGTAGGGCAAGGATGTTGCAGGAGGACAATTTTGCATACACTTTAGTTACACCCTATATTTTTTCATAATGTTTTTTTCCTCTGCATTATTTCTTTACTTTTTTTGGGGGGGGGGAACTGTTGACAAGTTGACAAAGATATGCAGAGTTGAAAAATACTGGTATGCCTTAGGGTTAAAAAAGGGCAAAAAATGAAAAGCTTTTACCTTTTTAAAACATAACACGCACCAGGGGACAAATTGAAATACATGTGTACATGCAGATCTACGTCACAGGTCTTCTAGAATTCACTGCGAAGTACATGTACATGTAACTTTCCAATTAGTACAAGCATTATTAATAAATCTGCATGGAAAATATTACTTCTTTTCACAAAAAGACCCCTTTCTATCATCCCTCTACGGACATTCAACAATATGCATCTCACAATCATGACAATTAATAACCAAGAAACATGGATGGCAACGGGCACTGATCGCAAAGACAAATATCTACATGTACTTTCCTCGAGTCCACCATGATGCGTAATTATGAGTATTATATTGCAAGTCTCACATTCAAATGGCCATACATACCAGCTCATCCAACGTCTGGACTTTAAAGGGCAAATGGATGAGGCCCCAGCTGTTGATACCCCCAGCGAGCTGTTGCCCAGAGGAAACATTGGGATTCTTCAGAGTGATCAACATGTCCAGGAAATCTTTCGGGGCATAGACAGGCCGAAAGGCACTCAAATCTGCAAACAAAGAAAGAAAAGAACAACTAAGCCCTGCCGACAAATTAAAAGACCAAGACAAGTTTTGTTTTCCCAATCAAAAGACCATAAGACGAGGTTATCCTTCCTAAAATGACTACTCTTCATGGCTTAGGCTACGTGCTGACAAAGCACGTAGCCTAAGCCATGAAGCCAAAGCAGTCCCTCATCAAGGTCCGTTTTCCCCATGTGTAATGGCCTTCTGCAGGTGTTGTGTATGTACCGTATATAGTGATTGACTGTTTTTGGTCTGTAAATGACAACATGAATGACAAGCAAGGCATTCACCCGAGGCCAAGTCCTAACACTCCATCAGCTTCTCCTAGGAGTATTTAGTTTTCTAGGGGAAGAGGTAGTTCCTCCTGCTTATCAGATATGATGAAACGCCAACTCCTCAGAAGTTCTAAATGGATGGTTTTTTAAAAGATTCACCCAAAAATACTAAAGTTGCTGGTATGGACGAATCTGGCACACAGAAGTAGAAGTCATTGCTGTAGTAGCCCAACACTTGTGCAAAGGTCGTAAATGCCTTAATTGGCAAACAGGGTCTTTACAATTTGCCAAAATGAGCACAGACCACAAGCAATGAATTCGTCCAGCATGTGCGTCAGTGTGGGTGCCAACTCCACGTCTCCTCCTATTAATTTTTAACTTATAAAAAGTTGTTGACGATTGTTGTCAACATGCAATCTCTTGGTCGAGCTCTGGGCTCAGAGGAAGGAAGAACCCATTTATGAAGGTACTGTTAGGGCTATGCCAGTGACTGCCTAGAATAACTACCCATTAATGTTTTGTCTGAATGCAAGCCGGTATGGCGTCTGTAACTGACCTCTCTCTTTGCTTGTCACAGTCATATTTCTAGCCTACCAGTGGCTATGGCTAGCCAGTAGGAGAATAATTCACAGGGTTGAAAAAGAAGGCTCAAGCCGATCGAGCTCCAAATAATAAAAACGCATTTACATGTACTATTACTAAATACACTATGAAGAACAGCCCATTTGCCTCTTCAAAATAATGGGGTGAATATCACTTTGAGGCAGATCCTGAAACCAGCCAAGGGTGTTATTTCTCCTAAGTTTAGTCATTCATATGGATAGTAAGCAACATGAAACAGGTCTATACTGCTGGGTAGACAAATCTTCAGTGCTTTCTCACCCTATTCTTTCACTCACATCGTTTCAAGCTCATGATGGAATGTCTTTCCTCAACGGATCACCTCCGAACCACTTCACTTGTTCTACATAACAACATTCTCTTTAAATTCAATTCGACATTGGCACCCATTCTCCAACTTGTTTTGGTGTTGCTGCTTTACACAAGCGAACGAATGGACGAAATCCATTAACACAATGGCCAGAGGGGAATATTTGATTACTGAGCAAATTAAAAAGTGCAGCCACACAATTTGTCCCTCTTCACTTCATCGTTCATAGATGATGTCACAAGAGAAATGCCTTCATTGACAGGACAAATTAGAACGCCACATGCCTACCAAGAAAATTTATCACAAATCTACCAAATGCTAAACGCTTTTTGCCATACTTTGCTTACTAATTTTGAAATCGTATTAATATTCTAAATTAGTCCAAACCTATATGAAACTGACAGATAGAATCACTCTTCTTTTTGGAGGCATATTTATATGCATAAGCCTCCAACGTCTCTGTCTCCGTTTTTTTTATGCATAATGGACCCTGGGCCCTTGAGAGGAAATACTGCCGTAGCACAAAGCTTCTGGGAGCAGTTCCTGTAGAAAAGCCAATTTCCAGATGCAAACAGATCTGAGCTCATTGTGAACTTGTATCAGTGCTGTGATCCAGGATGGAAAGAAATTTACAAAACATTGACAAGGTGCAGACTCTTTCCCAAAAGAAAACGATTATGTATGAACCCTGCACTCAGTTTTTCTGGCACAAAACTCAGCAAAGGAACAAAATATGAATGTTTAATCCACTAAAAAAACACAGTTTTGTATCAAAAATAAAGAAGAAATGTCAGTCTTAAGGTGCAAAGGAATAGAGTGTACAGCCTCAGAATTAGCAGTCATGGAGTGACGGGCATACTCAATTCCCGTCATGGATTGTTGGTTCTAGACTCACATGATTTTCAAACCCCCCAAGACGCGTTCAAACAAGCTGCACCACCATGACTAACCAACGGCTGAGGAGTGAGCTTCTTGTTCAAGGCAACCTGATGGTGCAAACACGCACCCACCCACACATCCACACAGAAGCAATTTATAAACTAAACAAATTCTGCTCTGGCTGAAATTCAAAACCTCCCACCTGAAAAACAACGAACCAAAAAAGCCACGAACAAATTCATTTTCGGCGATGCAAAAGATCCATTTAGCGGCTGCACGTTCAACACAGGAGACAAACGCCACAGGGATACTAATTTCCGTGCGGAGTGTGGATCAGTGTACACCGACACTTTGTGTCAACTGCACACCAGTAGAGTTCATGCACGTACCATTCATGCTCCTCAGCATACTCACAACCCTCCCCCCCAACAGCTGCAACTAACAGTGGTACATTCACACCGTCAGATTGAGACAACTGGTATATCACACGTTCGGGACTGATACTCGGTGAGAGTCCTTTGTCGTGAGACTTGCTTTAATATCCTGGAAACAACTGTGAAGAAAAAAGATACTACTTTCGAAACTATTCTAGAAGCACAGCATGGACTTCCACTGATACCACTGCTTCATCCACAGAGGTCAAAACAGACAAAAAAAGAGAAGCAATCAGAAACGAAGAAGCAGAGACAGAGTCTAGAAAAAAGTCTCTGGTTTCTAGTAAATGTGTGCTGTATATCAGGGTCTGCTGCATCAGTGTTTGGTCTTTTTTGCCACTTTGTATCAATTATTAATTTCAGCCCAATTTATTGAATCAATTGAGATCTTCACATTGCATTTCTCTTGATCTTTTAGGGGAGGGTATCATTGGAAACCGTCCCTCGTGTATACTTAATGTGTGTCAAAGTTTTTATATGCACTTGGAATGTTACCTTTTTCTATTAAATCTGCAGTTGCAGAACAGAAACTCAAAATTCTGTCTCTGCATTGTATTAAAGCTATTAACATCATCAGAAACTTGAAACTCTGTAGCCTAATGTGATTGAGCAAATCGCAAGCATAGAAGTCTGGTACATTCACAAGTTTAGTACATGTACATCTATATCTATGTATCAGCCTCTAACCAATACAGGCTGATCTTTCTCATATCATCCTTTAAATGACCATCAAGGTTCAAACTTGTACATTCAAATATCACAAAAGACCATAAAGAGGAACTTCAAGGCCGAATGCTCCATGGTTCAAGGAGCATGTTTTTATTTTCTTCCGTTGGATGACAGTTTATCTTTGACAGCCCCCGTTTTACTTCATTTTTCTATCCGATATGGTACATGGCTATAGATGTAAGATAAAGAAATCAAATAAAGATCTCTAGGTCAACCAAGCATAATACTTCACAGAATTTGGAAAAGTGATCTTTTTCAGTCCTTCATTTCATTGTGATACGTTTCATGTCATGCAACTTGACTTGCTCTAAAAATGCAATCTGTGCGTCAAATACAAGCCATCAATCATGTGTACATAAAGAAAAATCCTGGCCAGCATCTGGATGGCTTTGGCCATCAGTTATCCAGATCATATGATCTGTTTCAAGACTGTCCAGCTCAGTTTCAACCTCATTTTTACAAAAATGAAGTGTAGGGAGGAGGATGCCTATTGTCAATCAGCTTCAAAAGCTGCTCTTTACAAAGAGCTTTATTTTATTTTTAGCCAAGTTTTCAGTTTTCTTCAGACTGTTCCTCATGCCTGTCAGTGTTCATGATAGGCAATGCCTGCATTTCAAGTTAACTAGGATGATCGAGAAGTCTGAGATTTTAGCTGGAAATTTCTAATTGTGGCCGAGTTTACACATGCACAGAGTGTACACCAAAAATAGTACATAATCAAAATCACTATCACAGTGGATCTAGTGTTTCAGTAGAAATCAAACTGTAAGATGTCGGCTGCATTTCAAACTTTCTACCTGAGATGCTAAGGAACGGACCGTCGTATTCACTGCAGTTATCATTTTTTGTCAATGTAACGCTTCTTTATTGTTAGGAGGGTGTGGCCACCTTGCAACTTAATTACGGCGCCTCATTTGATTCCCAGTTCTAATTTCCACACAGAAAAGAAGAACGTAGGCCTACACACTGCCTGGCATCAGCTAAACCCATCTAGCGAAACCAGCGTTCCGTTGTCCCACATCTGAAAATCGGGGTGAAATGTACTTAGGGGTACACAAACAATATAAATTGTGCAATTATGCTCGCTTCTGAAAAAAAAAAATAATGACCACCGAAACCACTCGATCAGTCAAGAGCTATGCAAGCTCCCGGAATTGGTCAGGAAATCTCATTCGCCAAATCTATTTTAGGCGCGAGAGGACTGTGACGATTTTGATCAGCAGCAGACAGGGAGGGGGAGCTCGCATATGAGGAAGTCGAGGAGAACATGCTGAGGTCCTGGACAAAAAAGAGGACACTGGTGTGATGTGGCACGGGCCAAAAATAAGAAATGTCGAATGCTTCCAAATAAATTTGTTCCCCAACAGCTAGGGGCCCATGACAGGATGTAACATGCTTTCTCATGTTAATAACATCATCATTTCAGTATGAGGTCTGTATACATACATGAGGCAACAGTGGAGAGCATGCTGTGCTGCTGAGAAAAAAAAAAAAAAAAGAGGAAATGGGGTGATGTAGCATAGGCAAAACACGATGCGTGCTTCAAGACAAATTTGTTCCTCAACAGGGAGTCCCAACAGCTGTGGCATGCTTCTTCATGTTTACATTGTCAGTTCAGTAATTCAGGAACTGTGTACCTGAACCTGTACATGAGGCATCCAGAGAGAACATGCTGTGCTACTGGGAGAGGGGGAAGAAAAGGAGACGGGCACAGGCAAAAAGCGTCTCGAATGTTTGGAGATAAATTTGCTCCTCTGCAGGGAGTCAAGACGAGATGTGACATGCTTCCTCATGTGTCAGTTCTGTAAACTGAAATGTATTCTGCTGTATATTTGGTGCAAATGTTGCCACCATGGAGGTAACGGACTTTGATTTACATTCCACAGAATAAAGTGCACATACAGTGTACATATTCCCTGCAATCGGAATGCAGGTTAAGTAATTCAAAAAATGACAAAGGCAAGGATCAACTACACCAGAAGTCGGAATAAGGTACATGTACATGTAATTGTGAAAACAGGCAGAACTATGAATCCATTACAAAGTTTTATGATGCATCACATTAGGTAAATGAGAATTTTAATGGAATCGTTCTGGTCAAAAAAGTTGTTAAAGTGTCACTGATGTCTCAAAGACTATAAAGTCATCTGGAGCTTCCTCAGGGAAAGCTCTAACAAACTTGGAGGTCACAAATCTAACTTGAGGATAGATGTACAAGAACGACAGCTTAAGTTTTCCATCTGAGGGAAAAAAACGTTATAGCCAAAGGAGGGTGTGGGCGTCTGTTGGACACCCTCTAGGTGGAACAGGCTCCTTGTTTTGCTAATACAAAGGCATAAAAAAGCATAAAACCTGAGCAACTCAGACAATCTTCTCTTCTTTCATTTCAAAGTGAATGTGGACCCCTCATTTCCAAATATTGGCTCAAACTTTGAAGAAATGTGATGCATCTACTGACAGAAAAGAGCCCAGAATGACTCGGGTCTATCAATTTTGGCGAGCTCCACTCTTGCAACTTCTCCCCAAATCCTGCCATGACTCTCGGTAAATTCTTGAGAAATTCAATCAACTCTCCCTGAATCCCACCCCTCCAGATCCTTCAAAATCCAGCTGTAGATTTACTGGTTAATGCTTTTACCCAGAATTCCTTTAATTTATTTTTGTGGATTCTTGGCCCTTCACCACATACATTTACATGCATTATACATGCATTTATATTTTTTGATATGCATACCAACAGTCAACCCAAAACGTTTCATACGGAACCACTGAGGCATCAAATGGATAAATATTCAACAAACTGCCATATACCATAAAAACTCACGGCAAGAATAAACCAAAAAACACAGAAATGAAAAAAGCCATAAAAATTGAAACCATGAGCTGCTGACTGAAAAACTTCCATATGTTACGTGTGTATTTGTCATTACTTTAAAAATAGGACTATTTCCTACAAATTGAAATCTGTTGAAACTCTAAGGGAGCCTTACAAAGTGGTGCATGTCTGAGGCGGGGAATAGCACAGACAATGGAGGGAGGGAGCAATCTTACCAGGCTCCTCTGCACCCAGCTCATTCCATCTTCCCCTTAGTTCCTTCTGTTCCGCGAGAGGTCTCTGCAAAGACAACAATTTCAAACTAGAATCCAAAAACAAAACACTTTTTTTTTCAAGTTCACAAGTCCTTTTTCCAAGACACTAAAGCACCTTGAGTTCCAGTAGAATAAAGCAGGCCATTCCACGCTAACCTACCTGTGGATATTGCAATCAACTACCGGTACAAGTATCTGCTAATACGGCCGTTTCACAATAGTGCGCCACCAAGAGTTTGCAGCGCATTGGCCAATCACAATCACAATGTTGTCGACCCAACGCGCGTTTGGAAAAGGTCGACAAATTTTGCGCGTTATGATTGGCCAACACGTCGCAAACTCTTGGTGGCGCACTATTGTGAATCGCCCGTATTAAATCAGAGAATCTTTGAAAGTGCTGTACATGTAGCATGTGAGTCTGGAGAAATTATAAGCTGTATCATTATTGATAATGTGAGCACTGCAACCTAATACAAGTTTGGGCTTTCATGGCTTCTGATCTTACCCCCAGAACAAACCCAACAACTGGGGGACTGTCAACACAAGTCTGGAGAGTGACAAAATCTAGTGTTTCACGTCCCACCCATCGTTGCCAGTGTGTCCTTTTTCTCTGTAGTTTTTTTCCTTTTGTGTGCTGTAACATTATAGTGACAGGAAAAGGACCCCGTGTGTTGTACTGTGTAAATGTTGTATTTAAATTAACAGTCCAATTTTTATTGATTTAAATTATGCATTCCCTTTTACCTTTTTCCTGGAATTCTTGCAAAAAGTGTTTTACTATAAAAAAAAGACTCTATGCTTCAAGCCATAAACTAAGGAAAGTTTCATTGATGGCAGAGCACTGCCATAGTGCTCTGGAACTGACAGTTTTTTTATCCACATGGGTCAGTTTTCCTTCTTTAGCCAGACGCTAATGCCAATGAGTTCAAATCACAGATCAAGTTGCAACTAACTGGGGGACGAACAAAAGGAAGTTGAACACTTTTTTCACCTGACTCATGACAAATGGACTTATTGCTGGCCAGTGAGAAATTGATTGTAACTCTTAATGCACACAGTTTTGCCTTTCAGTATGAGACTGTATGACCCAATACTTAAGGTTCAAGCATAAGCCAAGTGTGAACAAATTTCTCATTAGGGATTTTAATGGGTTTTCCAATCCGATTGCACATTTTTTCCAGCCAATAACTCAATTATTCAATTTCACCTGGTTCCTGCCAACTGGGCTTAAGCAGCGCCACTCTTTTGCCACTGCAAGCATTCTATTTTGTTTCTGTGCTTTTGATTTCCATCAAGCAATTTCTTTTCGTGAAGCATTCCTGTTCACTTTTGATTTGCACACTTGATCCTAGTATTTGGAATATAGAACAAGCGATTTCGCAGCATTTGCATGTGAACAGTGACACACAAGAAGTTCCAATCTTTGAATTCATAAAATAAGCATTTCTTTTCAATCTTCAAAAACATTTCCACTTGTAATGATGGTTAAGAAGGCCAGAATAAAACTGTTTTGGATCGTTATCATTTCATTGCATATTCATAAATACCTGGGACAGTTTTTCTACTCCTATTGGTCGAAACACGTTATGTGACTGTGTATTACCATTTGATAATGCCCGCTGAGAAGGGATAATGTCCACTGCGTAAATCACGCGCTGGCACATGCACACGAGACAGTTTAATCAAGTCTGATTGGTCAGAAGTCTGTAGGAACACGACACACCACGCTTGCACCTAGTTCATTTAAAAAGATTCTATTGGGCAACTGTCAAAAGGAATATACCATAAAATGGACAGGGGTGTTTGGGAAAATGAAGTAAAATTTTAGAACAAAATCATTGGAAATCCATCCCATGTTCACTTCTTTTGACTCTCTGACTAGAATGGTATTAATAAATGAGGATAAATATGTGCTTGGCAGGTTTTAAAGTTAAGACAGGCTCAGGAGACTGGACCCAATTAATGCCTGAGCCGCAGAATTATTCAGTTTTGTTCTGTTCACATGTTTCTTTTTGTTTGAGCCATTAAAGGTTTTGAAATCTTGGTGCAAATGAATAATATGAATAATGTTGTAAGTTTAAGTTCAAGTAAGGTAGTATGATTTTTTTTAATCAGTTTTCATGATCCTCCTAATCTTTCTGAATAGCAAAAGTTAAAAACTGGTCGGGAAAACATATAGCAAGGTGGAGATACTGCATTTTTTACATTAATTTTTTAAAGAGGGCGGATTTTTCCAAGATGGCAGAAGAATTTTTGTGACTCTTTTTGATACTACTGGATCTAACAAAGTTTTCATCATATCCAACACGTTTCAAACTCGCACTTATAGCAAAATATTTCATTAAAAACAAATAAAAATGTTGAAATACTGGACATTGCAAAAGGAGGCAACAGTACAAAATCTCCAAAACAAATTAGCGAAGTAGATGGCAATAACAAACTGTTTAAGTTTTTGCCTTTTTTTCAGTGTGTTTTGAGTATCTCACCTTTCTGGCCAAAGGAACAGACAGCTCCGTACACATGCTGTTCAAACTCTTGAGGATACGTTTCTCCCAAGTAGACTACATGAAATCAGAAGACAGAAGGCACGTCAGATTTCGCACATATTCCTTTTAACAATAATGTACTATGAATGAAGTTGAACAAATCTTTGATTGCTAAAGAACTCTTGGCCTAGCTCTGGAAATTAGCAACACTACAAAACGTTAAAAATGAGATATATCAGGAAATTACCGCATAGCACTTTTAACATAACTCTTTCTGATCATTCAACCTTCAAGAAAAATCAGCAGGATTTAGGAAAGTAGAATATAACCACTATTAATTTACATGGGGCTTGACTGAAAGTTAAACAAACATGTGTTGAGGTGACATGTACACCACTGAATTCCTTTAACTATATAGTTTGTTAGTTTTGCTTTAGTATTTTTCTAATCTCACTGTAATAAGCAGGGGTTTCCTACAATCTACAAGAATGCTATACATGTCGATGGACATGACATTGGTTTCTAGCACAGTGGAGGATTGTGGAGGATTCAGGCAGGTTGCCAGCAAAGAAAAAAGTCTCAGGAAATGGGGTTAATAATGAACTCAAAGCAAAAAGCGTGTATCTGCCCTCAACTCGGCTGCCTACAACCATGTCTGTATATCTGCAAAGCAATGAGAATGGTAATAAAAGCTCTGTTTGTATAGCACAGGTGGCATTCCATGTATACCAAGCTGGTAGCAGTAATCAATTCAAAGAGCAGACGGACAGTCTGAACTGGTTTACCAATTATCCGAAGGATTTAAACCCCCCCCAATCTACCTAGTGCCTCGGATGGTTTTGTTACCCACCTGTGCCCTCCTGATGTATGTCAAGGGTTCCTTGGTGTGTTCCAAAGGGGTATTAGGGTGGGATGACTTGGGGTAGCTGAGAAGGTGCTTGTAAACTGCATTGTGAAGTTTACGCTCCCAGCCTAAAGGCAGAAGGAAGAAGGGGCATAATATGAACATCGACAAGTTGAAGCACCGCGTGGCAAATTAAACTAAAATAACAATATACCACATCGGTGCTTAGTTGTTTTTAAATTCAAAACAAACAACATCGGCAAACTGTCTTTTTAAATTATAACCAGTGGGTAAACAAACAGTGTTTTAGTAGCACACCAAAGAAAAAAATGCAAATTTACGAATATCCCTTTTTTCAGTACCTGTTTCTTTGAGGCCGTGGGAAACTTGCTCTTGAAGATTGGATATTGCTATACCGGGCTTGGCAGCCTGTGCCTAGGGGGTACAGATGCAAAAAAAAAATCAATCGGGTGAAGAAATGACAAGCATTTATCTTGAGGACTGCTCGCACAAGACTTCAACCGCATCCACTGATGTAATTTATTTGTCAACATACATTGATTCCATGTTAATCATTGATGGGGGTTTACTAAGAGTGTTTGGAGAAATTTTGGGTTATGAAATTCTGACACGGTGTACACGGAGGAATTATGTGACAAACTCACACGCACTTCCTTTGGTTGGGTAGTTTGGAAATTTAGTTTTCGGTTTTCTACCTGAGCAGCCCTTTTTAGCTGGAAATGAAGCCGTGATTTGCGGATTTCTTGAGCAATATGGGCGACAACAACAAACCGTTCCTCTCCTTCAAGTTGACAATCCATGCCAGACAGCTGCAAATGAGAAACGATACATAGCAAATAACAAGCCCCTAAAGTGCAACTCAAGCTAGCTCTGTACTGGGGCCAGTCTACTGGACTACCTCCATATCCTTGGCCCTACCCCAAAATAAAAAAAAAAGCAGGAGGCCCCTACCGGTACTTTGCAAAAAAGCTTCCTGTGAGCCCTACGTTTGGGTCATTCTGTCAATATGGGCGTTTCACAGTAGTGCGCATCCAAGAGTTTGCAACACATTGGCCAATCACAATGTGCAAAATCTGTTGACCCAATGCGCGCGTTTGGAAAGGGTCGAAAGATTTCATGCATTGTGATTGGCCAACACGTTGCAAACTCTTGGAGGCGCTCTACATGCATGGTGAAATGCCCATATTGGGGGTCCAAAAAAGTGTGACATTTTTGTGTCCCTGTGCAGACCTGACCTGTGTAATACATGTATAAGACTTGGAAATATCATTTCAATTGACTTCAAAGTACTTTTATTTGTTTGGCAGGTGCTTTGCATTCAACAATCGCGAATGAATCTGTATAGTAAACGAATGGCATTGATGAGGCAACAAAACAAAGACTAAAGTTACTTGAAAAGGAAAAGTGGGGCAAAAGTCCAGGCAAATCAATCGATTACTTGGGTGAATAAAGCCGTATGAGGTATTCGGGGCTCATGGGAAATTTTTTTTTCTGCAAAGTATGGGCTTTTCTTTTTTTCTAGTTTGGGCCAAGGGCCAAGGATATGGAGGTACTATTACTTGTTGACTGGCCCTCGCATGAGCTAAACTCAAACTAATTTGTCTCACTGGTTGGACAAAGTGTCCTGATGACGACAGGCGGACAAGCATCTACAAAATGTAAATGGGCAAACATTCGTTCTTTAAACACTCCCAATGCTTTTTTTAAAAACATTCAAAATTCAGATTAGAAAGCATGTTATATCAGGCCCTTAGAGTTTTCAAGTGCCTTGGTAGGCTAGCAACAGGAAACACAATTTCGACAGTATTATAGGGCTCTATATTTGGCCTCTTCCTTTCAAGTCCAAGACAAGTTCGACTTTTCACATGTAGCACAGAGATGAGTATTTCATTTTGACATCTCAGCTCCAGATATGGAAGACCCTCATAAATTCATTCTTGGATGGAGTTCTTTATCTGGACATCACTTGATACCCTGTGTGAAAAATGGTCTGACACATTATATCATTTGTTGTCTTAGACAGGTCTCTAAATGTTTAGTATTTCCCCAGCT